TGGGCTTCTGGAACAGTCGGCGTGGAAGGTTCGGCGTGTAGAACATTCTAACCTCGAGTCAGCAGCACGGTTCTCGAATTCACCAGAACATTACGTTAGAGTCAACAAAAATGCGTACCCATGGCCAGGAATCGAACCCTGGCTCTCTGCGTGGAAGGCACGCGCGGTAACTGTTAGGCTATGAGCGCACTGCTCATAGCCTATATGGAAACTAATTCAGAATATTGGGCGGACGTTGTTGATTATTTAAGAGAGCGGGCAACCAAATAATGTGGCCGCGACTTGTCGATATTCATTAGGGCCACTGTCTGCAATGTTTTTCTAATCGCCAAGTTATGGTATGTACTACAAGTTCTACACTGTGCACGAACTAGAATACAAAAAATTCATAAAGTGTTTCCTGTTTTCATATGAAAAAGCACGGGGGAACCAATGAGACGTGATAACCTCTTTCGTTCAGTGTCAAAAGGAGGACTCGGTCTGTCCCGCCTATTTGTCCGACAAATTGTTTCACGTTTTCTTTTCTTGAGAAACCAAAAACATCCTCTTTTGCAAGTAATGTTTCAAACAAGAATAACTCGCCACTTCCTTTCCGTTCTGGTTTCTTCTTCCATTGGGCCCCCGCTAGGAAGGTCGGTTTTGTGAAGGAGGTGGTGAATGCTTTAAAATTCTTAATGGCGTGTAACTCGCGGGAGTATTTGTTCACTGTCACCAGAAAAAAGTTTACCAACGATCGAATTGATAGTCTCTTCTCCGCTCCGGTGTAGAGAACTTTGTTCATTAACATGTCTGGGGATGATGTGTTGGTTCGCGCAAAGAAGATGTGGATCCCCCCAGCGGCGAAATTTTTTTTCCCCGGCTGCATAATGCCACACTGCCAGTTAAAGTATGGATGGCTGAGAGAGCTATGATTTTACGTTGGGGTGCTAACTGTCTACTTTGTAAGCAGCCTGAGACAGTTAAACACATATTCATTGACTGCTGGGACTCAATCATGTTCTGGGACGTCCCAAAGCGCACTATACAGGAGGACATAGATATAACATCACATTCTATTCGGTTCCTTCCTGTAAACAAACAAGAGAGTGTCCCGCTCGATATGATCATGGTGTTAGGTTTGTTTGCTCTGTGGAAATCTGGTATGGAAGTCCGCCCTGCAGTAGAAAACCAAAATCTGCTCCACAGTATTTCACTGAACTTGTTACTAAGTGAAGAGTGTATTTGAGTGTACGGACGCAACGCCTGACTGGGCAAGCCTGTTGCATGTGCTGTTGTGTATGAAGGATTTTTAACTCTACAGCTGCCCAAAAGGTCTGGGTAGTCTGTTTTTAAGCACTGAATAAAGAAAAAAAAAGCGCTTGTGGCCTAACAGTTATCGTGCTTGTTTCCCACGCAAAGGGCCACGATTCAATTCCAGGCAGAGGACGTTCTGAAACTCTCGCATTCTAGTAAATTCGAGAACCCTGTTGTGTATTCGAGGTCCGAACGTTCTAGGCGCCGAATGTTCTACGCCGAACGTTCCAGAAGCTCACGTGTGTACATAAGGGGCTTCGCGGGGCGAGCCGGGGTCAGTCTCGCCCCAGCGTTCAATCCTGCTGTTACGCCGACTTCGACGCCCGCGACGCTCTCTTGTTATCTTCTGTTTCCTTTTTGTTTTGGAAACAAGTTCCTTCCATTAAACGTTTCAGTTTCCTACGTCATTCCTTGTTCGTCGCCTCGTCATTCGCGACAATATTTTAACCGGACGACGAGGATGTTTCCTCCACCCACGGGGTGCCCCGTAGTACCGAACGCGCGCGGCATACGACGACATCCTGACGCTGTTGGTCCTGGCCTTAGGACTAATGAAAGCCGCTAAATGTGTTTTTTTTTTTTGTTTTTTAAGCGGCGCTGTTAAGGGCTAGTTTCCCCGATTTCGTGCCCGTGGACAAATTAATCTCGACACAACCCTCTGGACATCTACCGCCATTTATGATCGGCGGCTTTACATAGTAAAACTCCGCTGCTCTTCCTTCTTCACCAGAGTGCAAAGGTGAAATTGTTTTTGTCGAAAGTAGTTTTTGTTTATAATTTTAGATGAAAAACAAACAAACGCTGTTTCTGAAGCACAGAAACAAGAAATGATCCGTCGTCATACCCACCGCCAAGCGATGGAAAAGGCGCCGCATACTAGAAAAGGGTAGTGGGATAAGGCGCCCACGCGCGCCACGCAATTGAAGCGGCAAGCATACAAAGGTCCCGGACGTGCGCAGCGGCGCTGCAGCCGTTCGAGCTGGAGGATCCCACCGGTTCCGAGCGTTCCGAAGGCCTTCGGTGAGCAGGAATTGGCTTGCGGTTTGGTCGTTTGGCGGTTTGACAGCGCGAAGTGGCTCGCCTTCTGAACTGATCATTACCCCGTGTTTGCTCTCGTTCGTGGCCAATGAAGTGTCATGCCGAATGAGTGTTTAATCGCGCAGCAAATGGAATGCGAGCCGCCCTGGCCGCCCTCTTCATCCAACCATAGCCTCCTCTTTACTGACAGAGCATGGCAGATCGCCACGAGACGCTGCCGCCGAAAGTGATTAGGTAGAGCGGCAGACGGTAGTCATGTAACGGGCGCCCCGCTACGGCGAGAAGCCGGAACACACTTGTCACGAGCGATGGAATGTCCGCTCGTGCTTTTCGCGTTCCTCGGTCTACCACTTCCTTTCTCGTCGGGTTTGAAAACCATGTTATGGGTCCTCGCCGCTGCAGAAGCTGTGCTCTCAATACCAGACTCTCAGAGAAATGCTCTGTGCTACCAGATCCTCTCTCTCCAAATCTGCGACCGGGCATTCTGTGGCTCCGTCATCGAACTGCCAGGCTTTGTGAGTATAGAGGAAATTATGATCCAGCCTATCCAGCACATCAGAGCCGTTTATACTGAGAGAGTTTGGCCGATGGGCGGAGCTTGTTGGCCGCTAGAACAAGCGGATTTCGCGATAACACAATATGGCGTTACTTCTTTGTCTTGTTCATTCCTGAGAAATCGCGTAGAGTTCCTATGAGTCAGATCCACAATATGGCGGACGGAAGTAGTCATCCCCCGGTTGTCAGACTACGCTGCTGTGGTTGTCAGACTGTCAAAATCTCCTTAAGAAGGCCAAACTCTCTCAGTATAAACGGCTCTGCAGCACATGGTTTAGTGGCGCCCTCTCGAGCCGTCGACATGGAGTGCGGCAGCCGTGAGCGCTCGCTGAGCTCACTACCCCTCCTCTAGTTCACGGCCACCCAAGCCAGGACCAGGGACGTCATGAGAGAGGTTATTTTTTGTTTGTTTTTGTAATTCTAACCTGCCTATAAGGTATAAAATAAAGGAATTTCAAGACAAGAAAAGTTTCACTAAGTTACTACGTTCAGTGCGTTCAAGGTCGGGGCAAATTAGAAAAAAGAAACAGTCCAAGCTTCGTTGCAGGACCCCATTAAGGAGTTGGCATGCCTCAACGGCAGTGACACTCGCAAGCGCCAGGATCGCGATCCACAAACATTACAGGCCAGCTTCTGTGACGCCACTCCTTGCACCTTTGGGACCACGTTTGCTGTGCGGGCGGCATAGGACTCTAAAAAGCGCACCAGTCAAAAGAGAGTTTTCGTAGATCGTTTTCGCCATCCCGCAACGTTCTTCGCAGCCCGCTACGATACCCGCATCTCTACAGTCAAGGCATGCGCAGCAGCGACTTCTTCGTTGCGGATTGCTTAGCGGAGGGGGAAACGCGGTCTACGACAACTCCCTAAAGACTCGTTCAAGGTACCGTAGTCGCACAAACGAATGTATCGCTCCGCCGACGCTTGCTTCGGCGTGGCCTCCACCGCGTGAGTCAAAAATTCTAGCTCATTTAAAGCGACCGCACGAATCGGTTTCTTAGCGTACCGAGGTTTATGTTTGTACAGAGGTGACCGAGGATGATGTATTTTGTGTATAAATATTTTAGTATCTACGGCGGCAATCCGGTAAAATAAAGGTGTCTGATTGGCGCAGGACTAGACAAATTGTGGCAGCCGTTGACATATATGACTAGAAAGCCTGTACCGTATTTGCTCGAGTAATAAGTCGTCCTTCTTATCAACAAGTACTGTGGGTCTGCTTTCCCGCGGAGCACGGGGAAAGCTAATCACCGCGATCGACGGAAAGATGGCAGCGATTTACGGGACGGAGATAACGTCTTCATGCGAAATCGTCATCTGTTCAGATCGCCATTTTACGGAGAATCGTGTTCTCGACATTGTTATTCGTTGCGTTTTTATGCAGAACGCGATGATTGGTTGGAAGCGTGCTATGCACGAAAGTAGACACAAGGGCCTTGCTAATTCATAAGAAGTGCGAACATTACTCGTGAAAATGCGGTATTACGGAGAGTTTCCAACAGCTCGACCGAGAGCAATTGGTCTATGGATGGCGTTTGCGGTAAGAGTTGCGAGGAGGTTTTCGAGAGCGTTGATCGTTTCTCTGCCTTTCCACCTGTTTTCCTTTTCGCCACACGAAAACGCGGCACATGCGCAATTGCGATTAAATTTCCTAGTCTCTAGAGTGCACTGAATATCATATCGAATATAAATACTAAGAATATATCCGTAATCTAAAATACTTTTTTTGGTTTACGGTATGAAAAGGTCGGTGTATTTGTTCTATAACACTTACCGCTGTGTATGCAACGGAGTCTCACAACCATTTTAAATTTCTTACTACTGCGTGACGAAGGTCGACGGAGTGAGGCTACCATGTAGGACTACACTGTTTCGAAGTTAGCGCACTCTACAATGGAGAAAAACGTAACCCTTTCAAGGCGCACTTTCGTGGCATAGAAATTTACCTTGACGCTGTCTGCTTTTTTACCTACTTCTAGGAGGATCACATTTCATTTTGACAACTTATAATCGTGAACATGTACCACCGCTATAGCAAAACATTAAAAAAGACCAATTGTATTAATGTAGAATAATCATAAATCGCACGTAACTGCCTCTAATTTTTGCCCTTCCAGTTGTTGAAGACTCTCGAGGACAGATATACTTTTCGGAAAGACACCAAATCTTCCGAAAAAACTTGGCTGGTCGGAAAACCGACCACATGTTTGCGGATGCTGTGGACGACAGAGGCGAACATGTCTACCGCCAGCATCTTTTTGACCTACACAGATGAAAGGAACAGAACGTAAGCTAACATTTAAGCTTCGCCCCTAAATGAACCGTGACAATAACTTAACAGGCTGCTGCTTGATTTTTTACAGGACAATCCATATAGTATCCGTGAAAAGTGAATGTGAAAACACCTTAGAGTTTACGTTCCCTAATGTTACTTTAAAAGGTAAAACATCTTTTCCTTTAACTTTCCGAGTTCAGTTTCGAATGCATTTTCTTCCCCTTCAGGCAGTTCTTTACTCTGGTCATAGGCCTATATAAGAACGTAATATATGAAATACCTTATAACTTTTATGGAGCTTCATCTTCCCACTTGTGCAATAACCCCCCCCCCCCCCCCTGGCCCTTTTGCACAAGGCATACAATGTCTGCCAAAAGTAATTTCCGACTTTTTCCATTGTCAAAGCAGCGAACGTTTTATGTGGACTCCAAAAGTAAGGAAGGCGCATATGCAACAACCTGTCGCTCCCCTTATAAGGCGAAAAGTATTTTAGTTTGAACACCTCAACCAACACTGGCTTGTGTCATGCATTAGTCATTGTTTCTAGCGTTGAGCATTTGACTGGAACAGATTGCAAGAAACTCTGCTACGAAGGCTCAGGAAGCAGTCGTGTCAAATGCCTGCAGAAAGTGCGCAGTTAAACCACTCCTCTCCATAAGTTGTAACACAAACGACGGTGGATGCTGCCAACCCTCCAACCAATCAAATACCGCGTGCCCGTAATGCCACTTTAAGCCGGAGTCACACTGCATATACACCATCCAAAAGACAGTCTGCATACAGATTCAAACTGGAATCACCGCGAGATCCGTGCTTCGAATGCCTCATGACCACCATGTAAACGATAAATCAATCAACTTATCGATCTCGTTCGTTTTCATACATAATATTTTTAGAACGTCAAATTTACATTTTGTTTGCCTTTGCTGATAATGTTTCAAACGGCGCAATATACAATTTTGATTATGAATCAAGCTCGACGTGTAGTTAAGAACAGTTAAAAACATTCACACTCACAGATTCTCACTTCAGCTGCATGATGCAAAGGGGTTCGTTGATATTCTCCGGCACGAGTGACCTCCTTTCATTGCTCACAGTAAAGTCTCTGCGGCGCGTAATAAACACTCGCACGGCGTTAAAGTGGCCGCGAAAAGTGTTGCTTTCTGCACATCGTCTGGAGTTACAAATCTCGCTCCTACAGTTTACTTTAAGTAAGAATTTCTCCCAACGTTTTTCCTGCTCACAGGTGTACCCGTCCAGGTTTGTTTGGTGGAAGCGTTTAATTTTTACTCTATATTGATTAGTTAAAATTTTACCGATGAACCGGTTAAAAATTAATCACGATTAAAGCATTATTTCAATAGTCGGCTCACAGTGCATTAACAATCTTAACGTTGCACCAGAAGAGCATTACGAATATCAGAGGTCAAGTAGATCACAAATCACTGGTACCATATGACACCCATTAATTTGGAAGGGGCACGCGTACCCTGTGTATGTTATTGAAGATCTCACGCATAATACTAGAATTGTTATTTGCAAAGAATTCAGCTGTCTTTTTAAACCAGTAAAACACCAGAAACAAAAAAAAATGCAATCTGCAAGAGCTGTTCTAACCTCGTTTGCCGAAATACATTTCTCGTTTTCAGAGTTCAAGGACAGGAGGGTGAAATATAAGGTTCTGAGTACGAATTCTTCTTGTAGCATTTTAGAGAAACCAAAAGACAGCTTAGGAAGTAAGTGTTTTATTCTATTTTGTGGGTTTTTATCGGTAACATCACATTACAACTCAGTAAGATTAGTAGGTAATGTAGAACCGAAAATTCCAACTAATCTCAAGTTTTCTTCATTAAGTTGTAATTGCCTAGAATTCTGTAAATTTCAGCGTTGCGCAGACATTTTGAATGCGTCTGTGCCAAAGAAAATCTTTTCCGTTAGTTAGCTGGGCCTCTAAACTAATTCTGCAACTATCAACTGTGGAGTCTACGTGAATTACCGTAGAAGACAAGAAACAGTGAATTGTAAGGGATATATTTATCTGAAGTTATTCTACCATATGTTGAATATTCAAATGCACCTTGAATTGTAGGTTTCAGAAAAGGGGACCGAAAAGGGTACAGGCAGCGCGTTAGGTTTTTATGTAATGCAGTAATCTACTCATTACTTTTCCAAAACTGTGCTGGTAACGTACATACGTTAATTATTTGTAACAGGCAACGTAGTCACGTAACTTGTAACATCTTCCCAAGGCGTGAAAAGAATACACAAATATTTTCGTGTTTCTATATTTTTGTTATAGGCGCTAAGTCATTAATTATTGCACTCATTCCACCTGCCTTCAAAAATTTACCAGTCTTTTCCCCGCTCAAAAAAGCCCCGCTTTAGGAAAAAACCCACAGCCTCGCCTTTTGTCTCAGTGTCAAAAAAGCTGTCGCAAAAAAAAAAAACGCTGTTACCGTCAATTTATGTTTAAAAAAACGCGCAAAAGTCACGTGCGTTACATTTATCGGTCACGGTAACGCGTTTCATTTATTTTGAGGTAGCGTATGTCTGTAACTCTTTTCTTTATTTTGCTAGTAGCGAGTAATGTATTTCGTTACTTTTTTTCGCTAACGCCTACAACACTGCCTGTAGTTAGCCTCGCGCGCGCTTGACGGAGCTTGAATGCAGCTCTACGTTTGACCAATTAAGACAGAGAAAAACAAACAAAACTAGCAAAAAGGAAACCCTTTGCGTACAGAACAATAGGCTTTGGCCTATTGATCCTGCACACAAGGGGTACTGTTGATTCGAAGCACCGCAGCTGTGTTTTTGCCGACTTTAGTCCGCTCGACTTTTTAACCGCTTTGAAGGTACAATGAAAACGACCTGGGCCCGTTGGCGCCAAGCGGTAACCGCGGCTAAAGTTAGCCGCAGTACCTAGGAGAGGGATTTTGAAATCACGTGACTGGCTCGGTATAGGGATGCGGGGAAACGTGGCGGTGCCCCGGTGATTGAGCGCCGCTCGCTTCAAAAGTAATATGTCGTTGTAGCTGCAATATCGGACGCGTTAGTCAGCAACGAATGGTGCAGGAGGCTTTCGCTTTGCCTTATTTCACCTAAATCGCAAACATGAGCAATAACCTCGCCACTATTTTTAGATAGTCTTTCGATTCTGGCCATCAATAAGCCTAAATGAACGCGATAATTGTCGGCATGGCAACGTCTTTGGAAAGCGGACTGCCTTGACTCAATCGGCCGGGCATTGATAGCACACAAAAGCAGACAGCGTCCCAACAGACCTTTTTCGAATGCCTGCCACATCGCTTCCCCTTCTCCGACTCACCACGGCTGGCAACGGCTCGTTGTCGTGTTCAAACAGAAAAACGGTGAGAGTCCAGCTTTTTTGGCGGAGCGGTGAGCCGTTCACGAACCATGGCGCCAGTTTACACAACCCTTTACAGAACTTCCCATAGACGCTCCTTGCACAAACAGTCCCCCCCCCTCTCTCTCTCTTCCTCTCCACGGCTCGCCTCCCGCAGGTTCTGGCCGCCCATTGTTCCTTTTTCATGATTCGTAAAAAGGCAGTGTGAGAATAATACGTGTCCAACGATGCCGGGAAAGATAAGTTTACTTTTAAGCAAACTTCTTTAGTGGTCTGAATATCTCTCGGAAAGACACACCTTTCATAAACATTAATTCGCACAAAATGGCATGCCACGAAGTGATGCGACATAGCAATACAGTTCATAGTAATACAAAACCAGACTCTCAGTAAAAGTGTTGCCAACAAAAGAGATGAAGATTGTTGAGGAATTCTGTCTCACTTTCCAGCTAAAACAACAAAGACGTATACTTTATTGTAGGGAACAAAATGAGGCGAATGAAGTAGAAAAACATTCCATTTGAAAGATCTGATACCTACCTCAATATTGCATATCCATTTCCTTTTATTAATCAAAGTCAATTCAATTAGTCCAATTCGTCACAGCTTTGCTACTCAGGCACACATAAATGTTTATGATTTGCATCACTTATCGCCCAACGATATATTTTTTAAGTCAAATGGCTAACTTGCACCGCAACACAAACATCAACGGGAGAAAAGCAAACCCTAATTGACCTAATAATTAAAAAATTCAAACACCAACTAAGCCCTTCTATAGAGACCCTATAGAAGGGCTGGGTTCGTGTTTAAACGTTTAATACTTGATTACTCCCAACCATACAGATCTCTGTCAAATGTTTACTTTTAAGCCTTCCTGACCTAGCTCCATCGAGAGATGGAGGTCCTGATCAAGACAGGGATAGGGACACGTTATTCTACCCCGGGACATACACCCTTAACAGCGCCATTCCTCTCGCGTAGCATCCCATACGACAAGCAAATGATATAAAACGTTCTCACCTCTTGAAGGTATTCATGCTGTCAAGCCGCCGCCAGAAGTAAAATTTGATACTCTCACCTCAGTCAACGGTCGAGTGATGGATGCTTCTGGACATCGTTAGAGATACTTCGTGAAGTCTCTCGAGCCACAGCCAAAACGACACATAAAAGTCGTCGCATAAAGACACAATCATAGACGAACACGCACACATGACATTAACGGAAGAATCAAGACACAAACGCTGCATAACAAAACGCACTTTTGGAAACCGACATTGTGCTACATAAACGAAGACGACGTTGTCGTGCTTGGGCTCGATGGTGACTTTTACGAATCCTCCTATGCATCGTCTCGACGTTCTTCGTAGACACTCGAATCTCACAAAGAGACGCAAGGATGTCCAAAAGGGAACGACCGAACGTCCCGGGTCAAGACCCATGTGGTTCCACCTTCCGAGTTGATGGCAGCGACGCGACGACAGTCGGCCCTTGGGTCATTAGGCGGTGGGGTGGTCTTTGTCGGTCTACATAATATACAAACCTGCAATCGCAAACTAAGGAATCAACTAAAGATTTATCAGGTTTGTTCTTTAAACCGCTAATTCATACAAACAGGTGAATCTAAATTTATATTTCCTAACATTTCGAATACGGCAGTGCAACTACTATCGTTCGAATATCGGACTGTCCGGAAAGAATGAAGAGCGAAAAAGAAGAGCCTAGACCAGGGCTCTTCTTTCAAATGTGGGAGACACTTCGCGCTTTCCACTTTTGCACGCCCCCTCCTTTCCTATATCCTCTCCACGTTTAAGCTTGCCCCAACTTGGCTTTCCTCGCAGATTAGGAGAGGGGAGCGCTACCAGGGTTATCTTCCCTGCAGAAAATCGAGGTTGTACGTCGGCCTTTAAGCGAAAGACAGGTTGCGGTTTATTAGTCTTGTGCTACTGCCACCTTACGTATAGTTGGACTGCCTTTTACTCGGATAGATTGAAAGTAGTCCGAGCCTTTGTTTACTGCTCCAAACAAAAAATTGCCACCCCCTTCCCCGCGGCTTTTGAAAGCTTTGTGGTTGTAGAGCGCAGCTCTTAGATGCCTGTTTCCGGCTTGAGCGGCGTCGCTGTCGGCGTCGGCGTCACCATCGCCGTCGGCGTAACCGCGAGGTCACGTGACCACGCCCAAGGTCACGTGACCCCTTAAGGTAACGTGACCTCCCAAGGCCACCTCAAGGTCACGTGACCCCCTAGGTCACGTGACCCCTCCCAAGGTCAGGTGACCCCCAGTGGTCACGTGACACCCCGAGGATACGTGACCCCTTCCACAGGGCCACGTGACCCCCTCCCTTGAGGTCAGGTGACTCCCCCTTCTGAGGTCACGTGACCCCTCCGGAGCATAATCGAGAATGAGGGGAGGAGGAGGAGGAGGGGTCTTCCCTCCCCTGAATACCCTTCCCTCCTCCCTCCGCCCCTCAGTACCCTTCCCTACTCATTCCTCCTCAAAAGCTGCGCTCTAATTCGGCGTTACAGGGAGTTGTAAACGGCTCTGACTTTTTTTCCCTTAAAACATCCTCCTCTCCCAGCAACTCCGCGCGGACATTACCGAGCCCCGTCATTACCAAGCAAGTCTTTTCTGTTACAACGTAATGATATGCCGTTTGTGCACCATTCCGGGAGCTCCTAATAATATTGCAAGCAGATTTGGCCATGTTCATACTTGAGGATGGAAAGACGCGACCCGCTCTTAGACGCAGAACATTTAGATGAAAGATGCATGCAGGAGCGATTTTGGAGCATTGGCAGGCAGTGATATTCTGCTCGAGTCCTTAGTGAAGCAGGTCACCGAAACCAGTCAGTTGTTTTTGCGGCTCTTAGGTCGGGTCAGCCTGGCCACCCCCGGCCTAGACCAAGGCAAGGCCCAAGGAGAAGCCCAATTTCCGGGATCGCTTCCTCTTTCTGATGCTCGTGACATCATGCCTCCAAGCGCTGCAGCCTTCCCTTGGTGTTGCATTTAGACACTGTGCTTCAAAGTCTGTTTAACCTAAGTCACCATAAGAGACGTTCCCCCCAAAAAATAGTGACGCCCCGAATGACGAGAGGCGGACCTTGGTGGGTGGGTACTGCTCGTAGAAGCAGCGTTTATGAACAATTCCGTAACTGAGTTAATTTAAAAACGTTGGCTTTGACGGCACGCCAAAGTAAGCTGTTAAAGAGTATAATGAGTAAATGTGATTAAGTCTGACTACAGTTGCCACACCATACTCTTAGACAACTTTCTGTGGCTATACAGTCGAAGCTATGGTCGAATGTGCGCTTGCGGAGCGTCCATTACGCTGTGCACACGCACTATTAATGCGAAAGCATTAACTGTCCTGTGGAGCGAGCTGACGTCATCACTTTGAAGCGCGAAAACGGCACCTAGTTTCCCCGATCCTAAAGAAAAAAAGTAAAGGTCATGGATTTCGCCTTCGGTATCATTGGCTGGCGCGCGTCAACGGGGCTCTCATTGGCCGCTGCGCTTGTCAGATTCCACGACCGCTCACCCCATGGCGCTGCGTGCCCACCACCGCGCCGTTAACATGGAGCGTCCAAGGTCAGCGTGCCCAGGGTAGCACGCGCGCTGACCGGCGACGAAAGGTACGCGGCAGACGAAAAAGGAAGCGGATGAGCGGCTTGCATGCTTTCGTATTCACAACTCATAAGAAGTGCTTAGGTGTACCTCGAGCTTTTTAACTTATTTTTCAATAGCTCTCTGAAAATATAATGTGGCAACGGCGGTGAAGCTTAACCGCCGTTAAGGGCGTGCCCCTATAACTAGGGTATAACTAGGGTACACAACGTTCTCAAACGTTACTATGTGTATCGGCCACTTTCATAAAGTGCCGCTACAGCTCACCACGTCATCGCGCTCGTTATCGCTAAATACTACCTCAACCTACGGTTCACAGTTGACGTCTGGTCCTGTTCAGAAGACGCTTTTTGACGTCAAAATTAGGCGTTTTTTGCTCCTAATTTTAAAAATTTTTCAACTTTCCTTTTGGTGAAGTATTGTGCAAATTGATAAGGACGTTGCAAAGATTGCGAAAGAGCGCAGACAATTGTAAGGCCTATTGTTTTGTTTCAGAGTGTGCGTACTGGGTCCTGAAAACAGGTGAAGGTGGCAGGGATGCAAACTGGTGCAAACCGCCCAGGAAGCCTAAGTGCGATGTAGAGATACACACCCTCCAAGAACCTCGGAGATGCAAGCCAAAGCCCAAATCGATTCCACCAGGGGTGTCTACACTTAAGGTGCAACCCCACCGTGCGTGACGTTTTCGTGCTTCTTCGACGGCTTATAACTTTCTTTCTACATATCTTACGATGATAAAAATATTATCAAAATAAAGAGCTGTCTTTCAACGATACTTTAATGTCTCAATATGTCTCAATGTCGCAAAATACATAACGATACATAATGTCTCAATGTCTCAAAACCACCTCGGTGGCTTTTAAGTGGCACTAATATTGAAACAAAACAGAAAACATTAAATCGCCTCAGTGTCTCTGAGCCAACGCGCTGCCCCATGAATTAATATTTGTCGGGTTTAAATATCGGCCGAGGCGGCCGCAATCCGACGCAGGCCAATCTGAGATTTCGGTTGCACGTCAAAAGATCTTCAGTTAATCAAAATGAACCCGCAATTTTTTTATTTTTTTTTATTTTGCGAAACCCTAAGATATGAATATTTGGTTGGCTTTACCTTAGTTCGGAGCGCAGCCAACGCTACCGGCTGATGAAGTCACTGAAGCAGCGCCAAGAGCGCAAAATCAAGCAGTTCGTTCTCTTTCTGTGTCTGTGCGACCGCGCTAAACTAGAGCCACTAAATAAGCTACGCTTCATACACATCTTGGTGCTTAAAATGATGGTTGTCATTTTTCTGAAGCTCTATCTGAAATCACAGGAAACGCTTTTCCATCCTCCACAAATGTATAAACAGTTCGCGACAAAGCAAAGAAATATAACGTGAGCTTTCTGACACCGAAACTAATGCTGAGGAAGTCGCACTTTTGAATCATGACGATCGGCAGTGGCGTTTGATTTGTTACTTACCACCAAGATGGCGGCGCTACCAAAAATATCAAGTGTAAACTGCCGATACACTAATCGTAGCTCATTTGGTTTAGCTTACAGGCTAAACCAAGTGCGGTGGGGGATCGTTGGGCGAGTGTGTTGTGGCACCGCGGATCAGAGCACGTGGAGAAATGCTCGAGCGCGAGCTCCGTTCGAAGCACGGAGCTCACGCTGTACAACCTGTAGGGACTAAATCCCCTCGATGTGATGGCGTTGGTTTTTCAAGTAACCTCAAATGTGCCAGCGCACGCGGCCCGTCTCTCGAGCGGCCCTTGGAGGCATAGGCGTGCACAGGGTCCTCCTATAGGGGAGGGGGGGCGCCAAGTTTCACTGCAGCGCCCCCTCCCCCTCCCCCCCCCTCCCCCCCCCCCCCCTTCCGTCTCACCGAGACCCTTACGCCGTAGGGGTTAGGTGTTCTAGTGTACCCTGGTAGGAGTGCACTAGAACACCATATTTTAACCGCGAAATATGACTTCTAAGTTTACTTCAGTGTCACCATAAAACTACCCTTGAGTTTGCTTTCCCGCAGATTACTTGGAAGTCTAATTATTGCGGTTTACGAATGGAGCCCGGAGAATGATAATGCTTGAAATATGTTTGAACCTAAATATTAAATCTGAGCTGTGACACCGAACATGAGGTAATGCAACAAAACGTCATACTTTATAGTGCCACTGTTCAGACTTTATTTTTACGTGTCATCGTATCCATATCCCCGTAGACCTCAGTAATTGGATTTGCGAGTGCTCTGCGTGAAAGTGGACTTACATGCACTTTGAAGTATGGCAGAAATGAGAAGATGAGATAACTTTTACAACAACAAAAACGATTTATTGCCAAACAAAAGTGGAAACCCCACGATAAGGAAACCACGGCTGTCACTCGTAGGGCACAAGCGCCATAACAAAACACAGAAAGAAAATGAATCGCACGAGGGCTCAGACGATACACAATTTCAATTCACAAGCGGTAGACTCTAAAAAAACATTCAACACAACAAAACAACAGGGCTGCATGGTGCAAATGAAAACAGTAACACACAGTAAAATTAACTACATCATACAAAAGAACTATTCAAGCTGAGCTGTGCAAAAATACTATTGGAGTGAGAGGCGAACCTTAGTTCGGACGGAATCGGTTGTAAAGCATCCTCTTTCGCCGGTTGTCAACCAATTAAGAATAAAGTAGAATTATGTGACATTGTAGGTTAATGCGATAGCATATCCTGCGAAATTAAAACGCATTCATAACAAAAGTTTGCGCGTTTTAGTCCTAAAATGCTTTAAGATATTACCAAAACTGATGGATGTTGCTAGGTCCAGCTCCACAAAGGGCAGCATCAGCCAACGAAGCCGTTCCTGCGACATCGTGGATCTTAACTTGGTCTTTACATGTGCGAGCTTCGAAAATGTCATTTCGCACGAGCAACTGGTTACAGGTTGAAGAGCGCGAGAAAAGTCCTTGAATACTGACTTGTCCAACCCATTTTCTTTGAGTGAATTCAGCCAGTCATAGGCGGTCATGCTGTTTGCTTTTTCGTCGCTGGTTCGGGACTTCAGGAGCCTCATTTCAGGCCGCAAGCTGTCGGCATCTACCCCAAAAAAGCTAAAAATAAGAGATATTTGTTCGTCGCTCGCAGAGAGGCCCTGGAGGTTCTGGATAGCACACACAAGCTCAAACGTTTCTTGTGTGCACCTTTCTTCGATCATCGAACACAGGAGTCCAGCTTCGGAAAGAAAACACCGACACGAAATTCCTCCTGTTTTGTCGCATAGAAACATTCATTCGCCCAGTTTTGGTCAATTCGCTTCGATACCTTTCTTCTTCGAACTTCGGGAATCTCGATTTCATTCATCTCGCAGACCGAAGAAGCTTCCGCAAACAGCTTTTCAAAGACTGTCCTCATCTTGCCTCATCTCTCGCAGCGCTTTTTGCAGATTCCTGACTTCATTGAGTGCAGTGGTAAAGTTAATTTTAGGGTCCTGAGGAGCTCGGCTAACCTTCAAAATAAGCTGTAGAATAGGGTGAGCTATTTCCATGCTGCAGACAAATTCAAAGCTCATCAACTGGGAAAGGAGTCGCTTGCCTTTTGCTTTCGTCTCCGGGTGCTTTGTGGAGTCCACAATCGTTCTTACTGCACTAGACAGTTCGCTGTAGCTCTCACGAACGGCCTTCACTGCTTCAGCACGACATGCCCATCTGGTTGTAAACAAAGACTTCAAAGTTTTCGGTTGTGTGCCGGCAGTTTGGCAAATTCGCTCAAAAACAGCATGGCGCACAACACTGTTTTCAATAAAGTTGTTCGCAAGTTGCACAACGCCAAAGAAATCAAGCATCATTCTGTTTTCTGCTCGGGACAAACATGCATCGACAAGCACCAGGTTTAAGCAGTGGGCATAGCAGTGAACGTAGACGAGCTTGTAGTTCTGCTCTTTGCGCTTTGCTTGAATGCCAGCAACGTGCCCTGACATAGTAGAAGCCCCGTCAAAGCAGACGGAACTCACAGAATTCCAGGAAATATTGATGGCAGTGAGAACTGCTTGCAATGTGGAAAACGCAGAGTCGCTGTTTAAATTTTTAAGCCTTTCGAGAGTAAGGAAGACCTCCACTGGCCTGTTCTTAATCTCGCAGAAGTACCTAATAACAACGGAGAGTTGTTCATGATGACCGCAGTCACTTGTTTCGTCGCACATGAGTGAGATTGTTTTCCCTTCTATGCGGTGGACAATCGAAGGAAAAATGGCTGCATGCAGTGACTCTAGGATGTCATTTTGTATTCTGTTGCTGATGTAAGAGGCGTTCTTTGGGCCTGACTCTAAGTGGCCCCGCAAAACGGGGTCGTACTTCTTTACGATATGAACTATCTCTAAATATAGACCTTGCTCTGCGCTTTCCTTATTTTCACTGTGACCTCTGAATGGCTTTCCTTCCTTTGCGAGAAGAACAACGATGTCGGTAAGGCGCTTTAGCACCTCACGATTTTGTTTTCGTTTTTCTTCGACTGGAGAGGCTCGTCGTTCAAAGCTTTCATCCGGGATTCAAGCAGTCGATCTGTTTGCTTTAGAGCAATTCCATGACACGACACTGTTAAGATGGCCCTTAGATCTTTCATGCTGATTAAACCTTTCTATCGATTTCTTCCAAGTTCGAAACCCAGTTGAAACAAAGGATGGGTCTAAATGTTCTTTGGATATACCACTCCCCGGCGGAATCGCCCGACAACAAAAGCAAAAGGCTGCATATTTTGCTGGACTGTATTCAAGCCAGCTGAACTTTGCAAACCAGTGTTCACAAAAGCTGCGCTTTCGATTATTCGTTTCTGTTTGGGCATAGCTGCCTAGATGAGGCTGAAAAGGACCCCGTGCTTGCCTGGCTTGCTTGTCCAGGTCGCTAGTCGGCATTTGCAGCGACGGGTCGTTGTCAGATACCTGGTTCTGGTTGGTGGAAAGCGTTGAGCAAAATCTCGGAGGCTTATCTGGTGCATCAACGATGTGGCTTGGCGTCGTGGCACAGCTTGGCGTCGTAGCACAGCTTGGCGTCGGCGCACAATTTGGCGTCGTGGCACAGCATGGCGAAGTGGCGCAGTCGTCAGCTTGCTGGTGGCTGGACATCTTTTCCGGTTCATTTTGTTCATGCTGCACTTTGCAGCTTGTTGACTGTGCTGCAAATAAATAAGAGAAGTATAACTTTTAGAGCGCAGCTCTTAGGGGCCCGTTCCAGGGCTTGAGCGGCGTCGCCGTCGCCGTTGGCGTAACCAAGGTCATCCCAAGGTCACTTAACCCCCAAGGTCATCCCAAGGTCGCGTGACCCCAAGGTCACGTGACCCCTCCCCAAGGTGACGTGACACCCAAGGTCACGTGACTCCCCAAGGTCACGTGACCCCTCCCCCAGGGTCACGTCACCCCCAAGGTCACGTGACACCCAAAGTCACGTGGCTCCCCAAGTCACGTGACCCCCGATGACGTCATCAGTGACGTCACTGATGACGACACCGGCATCCGCATCGTCAGCGTCATCATAACTGATGACGTCATCAGTGACGTCACTGATGACGTCACCGGCATCCGCATCGTCATCGTCATCATCACTGATGACGTCACCGGCGTCCGCATCGTCGTCGTCATCATCACTGATGACCTCACCGGCATCCGCATCGTCATTGTCATCATCACTGATGACGTCATCAGTGACATCACTGATGACGTCACCGGCATCCGCATCGTCATCGTCATCATCACTGATGATGTCACCGGCATCCGCATCGTCATCGTCATCATCGCTGATGACGTCATCAGTGACGTCACTGATGACGTCACCGGCATCCGCATCGTCATCATCACTGCTGACGTCATCAGTGACGTCACTGATGACGTCACCGGCATCCGCATCGTCATCGTCATCACTGATGATGTCACCGGCATCAGCATCGTCGTCGTCATCATCGCTGATGACGTCATCAGCGACGTCACTGATGACGTCACCGGCATCCGCATCGTCATCGTCATCATCACTGATGATGTCACCGGCATCCGTATCGTCATCGTCATCATCACTGATGACGCCATTAGTGACGTCACTGATGACGTCACCGGCATCCGCATTGTCATCGTCATCATCACTGATGACGTCACCGGCATCCGCATCGTCATTGTCATCATCACTGATGACGTCATCAGTGACGTCACTGATGACGTCATCAGTATCCGCATCGTCATCGGTACTGATAACGTCATCGGCATCGTCATCGTCACGTGACCCCCCTAGGTCACGTGACCCCCACCCAAGGTCACTTGACCCCTCCCAGTACCCTTTCCTCCTCCTCCTCAAGAGCTGCGCTCTAATTCGGCGTTACAGGGAGTTGTAAACGGCTTTCACGTTTTAGAGCGCAGCTCTTAGGGGCCCGTTTCCGGCTTGAGCGGCGTCGCCGTCGGCGTCGGCGTCGGCGTCGGCCTCGCCGTCGCCGTCGCCGTCGGCGTCGGCGTAACCGCGCGGTGCATCATGGGAAATGTCTCATAATGCACCGCGCGAGCCCCCCACCAAGGTCACGTGACCTCGTGGGGGGTCACGTGACCCCCGAAGTCACGTGACTCCCCTGAGGTCACGTGGCCCCCTCCTCGAGGTCACGTGACCCCCGCCGATGTCGCGTGACCCCCCGATGACGTCATCGTCACTGATGACGTCACCGGCATCCACATCGTCATCGTCATCATCACTGATGACGTCACCGGCATCCACATCGTCATCGTCATCATCACTGATGACGTCACCGGCATCCACATCGTCATCGTCATCACTGATGACGTCACCGGCATCCGCATCGTCATCGTCATCATCACTGATGACGTCACCGGCATCCACATCGTCATCGTCATCATCACTGATGACGTCACCGGCATCCACATCGTCATCGTCATCATCACTGATGACGTCACCGGCATCCGCATCGTCATCGTCATCATCACTGATGACGTCACCGGCATCCACATCGTCATCATCACTGATGACGCACCGGCATCCACATCGTCATCGTCATCATCACTGATGACGTCACCGGCATCCACATCGTCATCATCACTGATGACGTCACCGACATCCGCATTGTCATCGTCATCATCACTGATGACGTCATCAGTGACGTCACTGATGTCGTCACCGGCATCCGCATCGTCATCGTCATCATCACTGATGACGTCATCAGCGACGTCACTGATGACGTCACCGACATTCGCATCGTCATCGTCATCATCACTGGTGAAGTCATCAGTGACGTCACTAATGACGTCATCGGTACCCGCATCGTCATCGTCACTGATGACGTCATCAGTGACGTCAGTGATGACATCATCGGCATTGGGGGTCACGTGACCCCCAAGGTAACGTGACCCCCCCTGGTTAGTCTAACCCCCCCCCCAGCGCCCTTCCCTCCTCCTCCTCAAGAGCTGCGCTCTAATTCGGCGTTACAGGGAGTTGTAAGCGGCTTTCACTTTTTTAGTTTTCTTTTTACCTGTTAACATGGCTCTTAGAACGCGCTCTAAAAGAAGTCTGAGTAAACAATTACAGGACAACTGTGCCAATAATAAATATATATTCCAGGAAATTTTACGACAGCCTTCTGATCGACAGTTCAGCATATTCCCTCCAAGCTAACAACAGCAACCGCTGCTTGGAGGCGTGCCAAGCACGGCCTGCTGCTTGTGTTTTCTACGTTTAAACGTAAGCAACCTTTTTAAAAAAACTAGGTTGCTAAAAAGCTAGTTTTTTTATGTCGGTAAGGTTAGTCGCGCTAGAGTTACTAGTCTGGCCGAGGAGCACTACATTCTTTGTTCGTCGCGACAAAAGTTCGCGCCCTTCTCGTATAGTTAATAATTTCTAGAGAGATAATCGTGCACAGAGCGTATACACGACTCAAAGATTTTAAGACTGCGTTTTATTAATGGTGAGCACTGGCGCTGGACACGGAAATGCCCCGAGTTGCTGAGTACGTCGGTGAAGACAGACGGGGCTCTCATAGAAACGTTGCTAAATTCGTTAAACACTTTTTCATTTGTGAGGATTTAAACATTCATGAGTGGGTGCGTCTCTCACTCTCGCTGTTGCCTTCGTTCGTGAGGCGCTTCATTCACCTCAACAAGATCAGTCATTTTGCTCAACGGAGTCATGTTGAGGAGCCACGCTATCGTCAACGAACAGACTTCGTAGAATGACACCGACACGTGCTGCTACATCGACACTTCTAAGGAAAAGGATATGAATAATTTAACCAACTAAACTGGGCTCTGGAGTGAATTTAATTGTGCCTTCAACAACGAAGAAAAATACTACAAGGTTAGTTTACTCGTTTTTTTCTTGGAAGGATCGCATTATGTGAATGAAACGGCCTCCAGGAAACCTTCATACAAGCAGGCGTAATGAACGTCCCTGAATTGACTCATCCAATCACCAAACCAGTACCGATGTGCACGGTGGACCCCTTCTTTCGTTTCTAATAAATTGCACTGTTCTCTCTTTCTATACTGCTCCGGCAATTTATGGGGTTCTAAAATAGCGTGTCGATTGCAAGGGTACCGACAGGATCTTCTTTCTAACATTTGTCACACATTCAGTTTTAATATCCGCCCACTAATCTACCAGCATATACCCTGGAAAAGTTCAAATGTAAATATTTCAACAAGTTGGACACTCGAAAAAACTTCAAATTAAAGTGTTCAGATTACGCTGTATGAACACCACCTGGACTCGTCGAATTCTGTTTATTACCTACGTTTTCCTTACGAAACATCATTACACTACTACGGCGTCGAATCGTCGATTATGCACCGAGTGTCCGCCGAAACACGGATTAGACACGAGTCATTGTCGAACGCTGACGTAGGACTGAGACTCGGAT